AMYWWTWWWAMAAAAKGCRACAATTTAATTTCGAACTGGATGATGATTAAAGTACTAMTATAAAAAAATACATCCAACACTGTGCTGTAGTACGTACCAGTAATTTAAAATTCAAAATGGCGCGAAAATTACAGTAAATCCAAATTGCGCAAAATTTGTAAATTCCTAGTTTTTCGTACTTTTTTGGACGACTGAAACAATGATCCTATTGAATGATCCTATTGAATGATCCTATTGAATGATCCTGTTGATTGATTAGCTTCTTCCGTTGTCATTCTTCGGAACTCCGTAAGGTGTGGTAGTGCCGTCACTATCGACTCCCAAGTTTGGACCGAACATTGGAGGAACCCCTCTAGCCTGCCCGTCCAGACACCATACCATGGGTCCCGTCGCGAAACAGGGCGAATCAGGAAGCCCGATCGGGGCTGTCGCTGCCGCTGCCGTTGTTGTTGTATCCAATCAGCGGCGGCGGCGAAAGAGAAGCCGACCGTCGCAGCACTGCGGGGGAACGGGGCGCCGGGATGGATCRTCGGCCTTATACGCAAAAGCTTTTGTTCCGGGTGGCCCGGATTCGTACCGGGACGACGACACCCGCTTTGCCTTTCTCGACAAGGACGGCGACGACCTGGCGGACGGGAGGCCGAGGTACCGGAGCCTCCCGCTGCTGCTGGAAGAACGAAGGGGCGGGGGCTGGCGCTCGGAGAAGAAGCGATGGCAGTCCGAGATGCTCTTCCGGTTTACCAAAAAGCCGGCCGAGAGCTWCATCGCGAGGCGGCAGTGGAGGWGCTTTTCTCACCGGAGGATCCCCTTTACCCAGCTGGGGTCGCCGGCGTCGGACGCCGTTCTCGCCATGGAACGCAGCGGCGATTATCTTTTGAGCCTTGGAAGCATGGACGGGGCTGCCCACACGGGGCTGGCTCTGCGGTTTTAYGGCATCCACGGCTCCGCCGGCAGGAACCGAGGCATCGGGAGCGGAAGCACCAGAAGGGCGCCCCTGTTCCAGACAACTCCGCTGCACAGCGGGGAATCCTTTGCGGGTGGCTCGATCCCGAATCTAGGGGGAGAGATCTCACCGTCCACCACACCGGTGGAACTATTGATCTCGAGCGATTGGAAGGTGGGAGTCGCTTTTTTGTATCCACCGAGAAGCAACGGAACCCTGCAGGTGGGTGCACAGGAGAACGAGTACAACCCGGGCGCGGACCAGACTGCTTCGGCGGTGCTCTTCACCCTGCCCCGGAGGCAATCTCCTTCCGGAACGGCCGGTCGTGACGGCAACGAAGCACCTGCGCTCTCCAGGGTGTTCGAGTACAAGAATGCCCCGGTGTTCCGCAGCGACAGCCGGCGAAAGCTGCTGTGGTGCGTGGAAAGCATTCCCAACACGGCCRGGAAAAGCCCCGGCACGAACGGAAGCCTCTGCGAAACGTGCTTTCGGGCTCCGGGATACCTGCTGCTGACCGACGAGGGCRACGGGTTTCGGCTGACCTGGGCCACCGAGCCTTCCTTTCTGGTGCCTTCKTGCCTCGAGGACGTGGCGGCGGACGCCCGGTTTGCCGGCGGCAGGAGGGCCTCCGGAGGCGCCTCCGGAGGCGCCGGCATGCTCTCCCACGAGCCCTTCTGCTGGGAAGAAACCCGTTGCAGGGTCCGGACGGGGGAGGCAGTAACGAGCCTCCCGGGCGAACGCGGTGCAACCGCCACGCCGGCGCAGGTGGGCATCGCCGGCGAGGGCTTCCTGCACCTCGGCGTCCTGCTCGCCGAGATCCTCTCCCGCCGGAGGGGGATTTCGGAGGCCGGTCCGGAGTTTTGCTACAGCCTGGTGGCCCTGAACCGCGCGGGCAGGATCGCCGACGTCGTGCTGGGTTTTGCCCGGAAGCGAAAGGCGTGCTCGATCGGGGTCTTTGTCAGCATCGACCTCTTTGCCGGGCTCTTTGTGGAGCTCGACTGGGTCCAGAGCAAGGGCAAGAAGGACGCGGCGCAGGTKCAGAAATGGTGCAACRCCCTGGCCGTGAACCGGCGAATGAGGGAGACGAGGGCCGGCCCGTTTTCCGTCCCCGGCCGGACGGCCGTCGACTGCAGCCGGTTGTGCAGGGAAACCTTTGCGTTCGACAACGACGAGGAAGACGACTACGACGAATCCTACTGGAGGGAGTTTGTCCTGGGGGAWGCTTCCGGGGAAACGAAACGGCGACAGGCCCCCAAGCTGGTGACGCTGTCCTCTCTCTATCCGTGTTGCGACGTCATCACGAACAATGCAATCACATCGTTCGAACCAGTKATGTCGATCAGGGCCAAGTGCTCTCCGATTCAACTGGTTTACAACTAAACARCAAAACCGACACCTTCCGGAGRTTTAATKKGCAAAATYKAAAAAAAGAATKGGTCTTTAGTTGCGGTCTTTATTCTAGCTACGCCGATTCGCTTATTAGGCTTATCTCTCTCGACAGGGCTTCTCGGAGTTTGCCTTCTCCCTCGTTAGCGAGTCGAACCGCACTGTCGCAGTCCGGTTGCATCTGCGTGTCGGCGCCWTGGCTTTCTTCCGRGACGCGCCGGATGACGACGCCCKGGAGRGGGGACCTCCGCTGGTAGTTTCGAAGCGCCAGCTGCTCGTCCGAGAGTTCCTCGCCACCGTTTTCACGAATCGCGTCGCGGAGAAGGCTGCTCGGTGCCAGGTGTCCGGGGACCGGCTCGTCCTTYGGCTYGATGTCGTCGCGGTCGTAGGAAGGATGCAAGTGCKTCAACTCGTATCGGTAGTCGTTCTTGTAGAGGAGATTMATTGCGTTGAGCAGAGTAGAAATTGCCACAAACCGATCGTGCGTTTCCGTTTCGGAACTGGGTGGGAACGACAGGACGATCGAATTGCACTGCGTCGGATCCGAGGATTCGAGCTCACAAATGCAGTTCCAATACCCCGAAAGGATGTCGCAAACGTCGGACGAACCCAAGAATCTGTAGGCAATGGGAGCTTCCTMGAGTTCGGGAAACGATCGCTTCACAAACGATTCGGTAGCTGCTCTCCACTGTTCTTCGTTGGGTGCCGCCGTGTTTTCGACCATTGTGCTGTACTGGGCTATCTCGCTCGCCGTCTTGTTTGCTGTCTCGAGGATCAACGCAGGACCGATTCCGTTCCCGACTAGGCTCAAAGAAAACCGCCGGAGATCGTGCAGGACGTCCATCAYGGGTTGCTGCGTTTTGAGTTCGGAAAAGCCAGMCACAAACATCTTGATGTCCTTGACCGGGATGTCTTCCAGGACCAAACACACCTTGCGTTCGTATTCGTTTTCGCTGAGCTGCCCCGCAACCGTCCACGTCGCACCCTGGAGAGTCATGTTCGCCGCGACGCCGTCGCATCCYAAGAGCGGAACGCCTTCCACCTCTAGATCGCGGAGCAAAAACTGAAAGAGGCTGGATTTGCGTTCCTCGCTCCAGTCCTCGAAATCCTCGACTGCGTGRGGATCGGTATTGTCGCTGGCGAACAACCCACCACTTCTGCCTGTGGATTGTGCGCGTGCGGATTTGCTGCCGGCGATTCTCGGAGAGCCGCGGTGCAAGGGAGAAAATCCCCCGGCGACTTCGACCCGGGCGACGAGCTGAAACAGCCAGAGAGCAGAAAGAATGGAAGACCAGTGGTTCATGGCGTCAAATTGTTCCGGAGAAACTAAATTTTATGGAAAAAGATAGCAAATGGGGCGAYGGGAGACAGGGTTTCGAAGTCGTCGAGTTGTCGTCGTTGTCGTGGCGTTTGTTAATGTGGACACGAATGGTATCCTACTCGGAGCACGAGAGTTCAGGCTGTGAAGCTGTCGGTGGAAGTTCTTCGAAACAACCGATGCAGAAAGCAAGTTTGATTCAGATTGTTGATTGATGCCTGTTGATGTGACGGTCTGCTTTGCATACGTCAATCGATTTCCAGTCGTGTCACTGAGTCAGACATAATTTCAGTCCCGCATGGTACGGGTACAACACAAGTGACCGACCGACGACGACATCGTTTCTGAAAAATGCTTTGCSAGAAACAAACAAAATCTGCAAGCCCGTTTCTCCTCTTCGGAACTGAATCAACGAAGGACGCTGGAATAATTATCGCTGTCGATTTCGTTTTGTTTCGAGGAACCAAGCTAATGGTTTGTGATCCTCCGATTCTTCCTTTGGCTGGGCGCATCCAGACAATGGTCCCGTTTCTTATTTTTTGCGTCTTTTACAACTTCGGGGCCRATGCATGGGGCCTTTCGTCCATAGCCAACGAACCCCTGCGTTCCGCAACACCAAACAACGGAGGGGAACATCGGAGGGATTTCTTGTGGAAAGGATTGGYTTCGTCCGCCGCTATTTTGTCCACGCCCGTGAGCAAGGCGATTGCAGCCGAAACGGTCGGCAAGGATCCGGATTGTGACGATCGAACGTGCCTCGGAGTGTGGGATGGTTTGCTGGCAGGTGAGCGATGAAGGAGAGGTCCAACCAAACAATTCGAAGGAACTTTTCTATTTTGCTGCCCGCGAACGAAAMCGGAATGTACTTCGGAGATAACGAGGGCCACGAGGTTTTGCTGCGCAATGTTGGTTGCTGTTCTCACCTTGGGACTCCATTCTCTTGCCTTTCCGATCTCGAACCATGCACACGTGCATAGACTGCCCCCATACCAACCCCAAGATCGGGGGATTCGTTCCTGGGCTGCCCGGCGGGGGAGCCGGCTGCACCTCGTCCCAGGACGACACCCCCGGGATATTTTCCGAGCCGTGGGACTATTCCGAGTCCCCCCTCGGTCTCGACTATTCGGACCAGATGCGGCTGCTCCGTCCCGCCGTCGAAAAGGTGGCCGCGAAGCGCGGGGACGCCTGCGAGATCCTCGTGCAGGAGGACCGGTACCTCCGGKTGCTGCTCACCGACGGGGTGTCCTTCGAGCGGTCGGTCGCCGAGTTCTACTTCACGCCGAGCGACACCACGGTGCAGTTCCGCATCGGGAGCTTCTCGTCCGGGGCTCCGAGCGGGAAAACCCTCCTGAGGGGATCCTCCCTCCGGAACATCGAGCGGGCCGAGATGATCCGAAAGGAGCTCCGCTACCTAAAGCTCCCCGTGCTGCGGAACCGGAAGCGGTCCCTGTTCTTTGTCGAGTCGGATCTGGATTCCTTCGGCCCGGGATCSGCGTCGCTGGGGCCACCGGCCGAGATGAAGGAGGGGGAAATCACCGGCCGATTGAGCGACGACGTCGATCCCAGRCTCAAGATCGATGCCGTCCAGCAATTTCCGTTTACTAGCAACCGATAGCAACCAGGGCAAAAAAATCCCGCGAACCTAAAACCACTAGGTCTTGTTCTGTTTAAACAATATTCTACTGTATGTATCTCTCTATGTGTGACCCAGACGCCTCGTTGGTTCTCGTGCGTAGACGACCACGTCGTCCCCTGCCCTCTCGATTCATGGGACGAGTCTGGTCCATKTRCGAACGCGAATGCCCGCATCCATCGATCCCTCCGTCAGTCGATCCGTTCGCACAGCTGCGTGCACAGGACCGTCTTTTCGCAGCGGATCCTTGCGCCGCCCGGATCGCCGGGAAATCCTTCCCCGTCCTGGGTGTTCTCGTTGAGACACGCGATCGAGGACGGSGGGAGATCGACGAACGCTGGGTGCCGGCACGGCAGGACGACGGCGTTGTAGATCCTCAGCCGGCGGTGCGGCTCCAGCCCGACGCTGCGGGCCGTGGCGAGGGAAAAGTCCAACCACGCCAAAAAGGCCGCCTCCCCGGAAGCCTGGCGGCCCGGCCCGTGGCGGTGGACGCAGCCGAGAACGGTGACTTTTGCGTCCTCCGGAAGGTCCCCGTCGTCGTCRTCGTYGTTGTTGWTGWTGTTGTTGTTGTTGTCGCCAAAGCCGCCCAGCACCGTGGCGTCCGTCACCGTCCCGGCGTTCTTCCGGGGGTCCCGGGCCGGGAGGAAGGCGGGCCTCCCGAYGGGGGGGTTGCGGAGCCGCGCGAGGTCGGCCTCCCGGGCGCGGCGGAGGGCCGCCAGGGCCCGGACCCATCCCCCGCTGCTGCGCCGGCGGCCGGGAGCGACCGGCGAGGCGTTCGAGGGATTCCCGGCGGCGGCGCCGGCAACCACCTTTCTTCCCTTCCCCGGGGCGTCCGAGTCGGAGTCGTCGCCGATGGCGTCCTCCGCGAGCACCCTGTTCTTGGTGCGAGCAAAGGACGGAGCAAAGCTGAAGGAGGACGGCTTGGTCGGTGTCTTGTCCGTCGAGCCGGAGCCGTGCGCCGCCGGGAGGTCCTCCGGTGTCCGCGATCTGGTCGGCGCGTCGGTGCCGCCTTTCGTGCCGCGGCGGTTCTTGGAGAGCCCGCGGAACGGGGCTCTCGTCCGTGTTGCCGCTGCCAGTGCCGATGCGGTAGCGAGCTGCTGCGTGCTTCCGGTGGCCTTGCCGCCACCGTTGTCACCGCGGTGGACGCTGCCTCGGTCTCGGTCTCGGTCTCGCGATCGAGCCCAATGGGTGGGCCTGGGATGGAAGGAGCGCAAACAAAACAAAGATATAAAATGTTAGGAGCGGGGCTGGTTCGCTGGATGGATTCGCTGGCCGAAGAGCCTACCAATACGTACCGAAGCCCGACAATGGATTTCGATTTTACGGTTTGCACATTGGTTTCCCTTTCTGCTCTAGATTCTCCCTGCGTTCGGTTCTGGTATCGGTCCTGCTTTGTTCTTTCGTCGCGGCGGCGATTCCTTGGGAGAGGAACCCCGAGCCCCTCCCTGCGCATCGGATCGGACCGCTTTCTCTTTCGATTTAAGTTTGGATTTGGATTGGCCTTCTTTCCTGGAACGCTCTTTCGATGACCGTAGGTCTCCGAGCCGGAATGCCTTCCAATCCGTCCAGCGAGGGAAGAGCCCTTCGTCGCGATGGGGTTAAGGCTGTTGTCGAATTCATCGGGACCGTCCTTGTTGGTGATGTTGTTGTTTTTTTTGTTTTTGTTGTTGTTGTTATGATCTTCATAGTTGTTGTTTTCTTCTTCTTCGTCGTCGTCGTTGTAGTTGTTCGAAACGCAAAGATCAAACTCGGGCGGAGAACACAGAGGCTCTTSGAAATCGTCGCGCTGCGGATTCTGGCCGGCGCTCTCCCGCCAAGAATCGTCTGAGGAAAGGGGGACGCCCGTGGCCTCGGTTCCCGCTCGCACCCGCCGGTCGTTCCCGTTTCCCTTGCTGTTGTCGTTGTGGTGGTTGTTGTTGTTGCTGCTGCTTTTGTTGCTGCTGCTTTCGCTGCTCTCGTCGTCCCGCCGCAGCTCCTGCCGCCCCACAATGGACCGCAGGGACGCAAACCCGTCGTCGTCGTCGTCGTTGTCGTCTTCGCTGTTCCCGCCGTCGTGCCACCCGTGTTCCCGGGCGTCGCTGCCCCGGGAGCCGGCCAGCCTCCGGCCGCTGCTCTTTCGCTGCCGCTTGCGCGCCGCGAGGAGGGAGGCAGCCGCCGCCGCTTGCCCCTTTTCCGGGCTCTGGCGGTCGTGGATGCTGATTCGGGCGTGGTCCCCAAACAAAGGGGCCTCTCCGGGCTTCCCTGTGGTCCCCCCCGCGTCCGTCCCGAAGGGCACCGACCCCTGGGACAGGGCCCAGGACGGCCGCGGTTCCGAGGGCCTGGATTCCCGGTAGAAGACAACGGGGTCGTCGTCCCCGTCGTCTTCCTCCCGCTCCCTCTCGCCTCCGGAATCAACGCTCGCCTGCGAGGTGTATGGAGACATCTCGGAACGGTGGCACGGGACCGCTTGGTTTGGCCATGCTCGTTGGGTTGCCTTGCGCAATACCACTTTGTAGTTCGCTGTTGCTTTTGKTGCTGCTGCTGATGCAGTGTTGTATCCCAGGTAGTAGTACAAGTAGTTCGAAAAAAATGATGCCAACAATCTTCGATGGCACACCCCGTCGAGGAAAAACAATGTGAGAAGGTACAAGGTACAGTATCGCGTAGAACAAGTACCGGTACGTAATACGTACACGTCCACTGCTATTGACAAAATCGATCACCATCATTTTTTTAATCGAACGAATCGAAGTCAGTGCAGAACCGAGAAGTGGTGTGCCAGTAAACCTCTTCTTGCAGTTCGTACGAGCAATCTATCTRTGGTTGAGCGCCAATTTGCTCCCAAAGTAATACAAATATTAGTAGTGGCAGTTGTGACAATGTGGGCGAACGTGCATCAAAGGACGATATCCAGCCGCTGGCTACTACTAGCAGTACTACTACTATAAGAGKGCCGAGGAGTGGCTTCCTGCCATAGTTGGCGACAAAAAACTAGTACTCCACGATTCGTTTGGGTTCTGTTTGACTTTTGATAGTACTTATACAACACACTGTAATCACATAATCTAATCAACATATAGCGCGTGGTGGTGTCTTGCACAGACCACAAAGACGAGCAAAGCAATTTTCCAACCAGCAGGTCCGGGACGTTTCCGGCACGGACAATAGGTTTTGGTTTGCAGAGTCTCGTTTCGTTTCACGGATGTTCATCTCGGCTGTCTTCTCCTATCGAGCGTTGCCCAGAACCGACTCGTCTCGTCTCGTCTCGTTTCCTTTCCCTTCGTGTTTTCGTTTTCGTTTCGTTTCGTTTCGTTTCGTGAGCACCGGGATCGAATCAATCGAATAGATTCTATTCCGGTGGGGCAGCGGCTCTGTTGGTCGGCTCGCTTATGCGATCGTGGCCTCGTTGCTCTTSATCGTCGGCTTCTCCTCGTCCTTGTCGTCGCGGCCCTTCGTCGGTCTTCGGAATCGTCTCACGCCCCTCTTCTTGTTTCCGCTGCYGTTGGAACGACGCCGGTATTTTGTCGGCGGCAACAAGTCGGTGTGGCTCAGCGACTTGATCAGAAGATTCGTAATGGCGTGGTGGAGGTAGCAAGAATACACCGCCAGCGCGCCACAGATCAGCATGGACAAYCCCAGGAGAAAYTTTTGGCCGGTCGTGACCCTGCGSATCCCRAACACGCTACCGGCGTACAGGTTGCCATCTTCGTCGTAYGTTCCGTATCGAATACCGTCCATGAAGGAACACTGTATCGCATTGGAGGACGAGGAAGTGTTCTGGACCAGCATCTCGTTGGACGTACCCGAAGTGCACCTCGCACTCTCTATGTCCAGTCGGTTGCACAGGTTCGAATTCGATTTCAAGTTCGGAGGGTAGTAGCTAAYGGAACAATCTTGACACCCGGCATCTGCTCCAAACTCATCAAAGTACGTTTGGTTGATTCCGAGGTTAAAGTACTCAATGCTGACTTCGTTTCCGGCGTAGTGTGTGCAGAATTTATCRTGGAAGACTCCCATAGAGAGGGTATTGGAAGACGCATCACACCGGGGTCGGAGGAAGTAACCACCGTTCACCTGGGAGCAGTCGATGACGTCCAAGTAATTCTCTGCAGTCATGTAATTGTCATCATCGTTCTCGCATACGCTGTTTCCATAGTCGTCGTAACAGTATTGCTGGTAATCCGTGCAGTCCAGGTTTGACCAAAAGTCGTCGTCGTCGACATATTCCTCGTTGACAACAAGATTGCCGTTTTCGTCGTAGCTGTAGTAGTAGCGCATTGAGTCGCGTCGTCGGCCTTGCTTCCCGTTGAGGCAAGAGTCGCACCAGTTGCAAAGCTGCTCCTTCTTATCCATTTCGTGTCTGAGCATGATTCGAACGTAGTCTGTTAATTCTATCGCGTATTCAACAAAGTCGCTGCTGCAACCGTAGGCTCTGTTATCCGAACAATACATGGAATCACAAAGCCTCAACACAACAATATCGTTTATCACCATCGGGCTGTATTCTCCGGCCTCGATGGCATCTTGAGAAAAGCGTTGCACCGGCTGACACTTTGCGTATTTGAAAGAGTACCCGGTAAAGTCTACCATGTTGTATTCGTTGACATAATAATCGTCTTCGTTCTCATAGACTTGATCGTTGCCATCGTTTGCCAGTTTACGAGCGCCATCATCACCCCCTAGTTGGTATCCTTTGGCATTAACGTTTTTCTTATACTCTTCTAGTGGAATAGCTTTGGCACGAAGTTTGTCGTCCAGTCCTGGTTCCACAGACGATGGTTTTCTCAGTCCCATGACATCACGAGAAAAGGACCCTCCTTCGGATGGAATAAACAACCCTAGAGCGACGGTCAACGATAACGCGGAAATCTTCATGGTAATTCTCTTTTTCTGCAACTCCTCCTGTTGTGCTGCGGGGAGATTTTGTTGCTCACCTTTGCCGTCCGCAGTAATAGTACTAGCAGTGTGATTTTTCCTGCGAGACGGTACTCGTACCGTAGATGGATGCGTTCGGGTGATTTGTGGCGATGATGTTCTTTTTCTTCAAAAAATGATCGATTTTAGCGAAGAGCCGTTTGTGAAAAAATCCGAGAATTTCTCTGCTCAATGACATTTTGTGTACGACGAGAACGTGCGGGGTGCACGTATTCGTACCGTAAAACACTGCTTTTAGCGAGGCTACATAATGCTGTTACTGGTAGGTCACGAGCTCGGTGATTCACGAATGAGATCAATCCATCGTAGTCCGTCCTTCATACGTGCGTAGTTGATGTTGGTCATAATAATTAATGTCCAATCGAGTTCTCATACAAGAGAACGAAGTCCGTTTTTGGAACAAAAAGCAAGGGAGAACATCGTGCAGTACTGTGCTTCTGTAATTCCTACGAAGTGCAATCTTTTCGTTCGGTGCTTTCAAATTTGTCCGGAATGCTTCCATCCATCAAGATCTCGGTACCATAATCTCGTCGGAAGAACCCAACATTCGTCCATTTCATGTTATACAATGGAGTCTCTCCTCGACCAAGCCGATGCATTGATCCTGATCGCCGGTGAGGAGGGCCCAGAACGCCCAAACTTTGAGATACCCGAAGAGCTGGCGCACCACACAGTTCCTAATGGCGACTGGCTCGAAGTACGCGAGAATCCCAGCAAGGGCAAAGGGTGGTTTACCAAGAGAGACATTCCAGCTGGATCCGTTGTGTTGGTGGCGAAAGCCATTGCTTGTGCACTTGATTTGGAGTATATAGAAGGAGATAGTGCCGATGGCAACATTGATGACGACGAGGATGACGACAATCAGCAAATGGAACAAGAAGAAGAGGATCAGGGTAGCACTGTAAACGAGCTATTGGTTCTCGATTTACTACAACACATTTTGGACAATCCTTCGATTTGGTCGCAGCAACTAACGAACCTCTATCCACGGGAAACAGTGGACATCGAAGMATCTCCGGTCTGGATATCGAAAGACGACGACGTCTTTTCGCAATTCGAAGCGATGATCRAAAAAATCGAGACGGTTCCGGGGCTGGCGGGAAAATCCAAAGAAATCTCAAAGCGGCTTCCCCTGATTGTCCGATACAATGTCCTATCGATCGAAACCTGTCCCGAACTGCTTAGCCATCCGGGACTACACGGTCACCACTCGTTGTCGGGTGTGGGACTCTATTATTTGCCATCTTTCTTCAACCATGATTCCAGACCAAATATAGCCCGATACGCTGTAGGAGACATTATGTGGTTTGTGGCCAACCAGGATATTGGCGCTGGACAGGAGCTTTGCATAAGCTATCTAGAACAGGATGTACTCTGCGAGAACACGTATCGACGAAATTGTATGCTAACGCTAGATTTTAAGGTACGGTATGATGTGGCGCGACTATATGCAATGCTAATTCGAAAAACTCTCTACGTATGCCTGTTACAACGACTAACTTGCCTACATTTTGTGCTCCTGTTTTCACTTTTAGGAAGAGGAGGATGCTTATCGGGCGACTATCGATGAAGAATCGCCCTGTTATCCTGTCGTAGACGTTGAGGTGCAAAATGAGCTGATGTCCATGAACCCTTTCGAGCGACTCGAAGCAATCGATCAGTTGATGCAACAGGCGGCCGGTGAAGCCTTGCCGGAAGGCGAAGACATTGAAGGAGAAGACGGCGACGACCGAATGGAAGCAAATGGGAGTGCATGGTTTGAGTGCGATGTACAAAACTTGAGAATTTTGAAAGCCATCACGTTGGAGGGCTGTGACAAATCCGAAATGGCTCTGCAACTTTGGGAAGAATGCATTGGATTCACGGAGTCCAAGATGCCTCCCAACGATGAGAATTCGATTGTGATGAGGGTGCAAGCAGCCCTTTGCTGTTTGAATTTGAACGAAGAAGCCCGTGCTGCACAACACGCAGCGATTGCTCTACAAAAACACAACTTGATGTTTGGAGGTGGAGTGAGACGGTTCCGTAGGCGTTACCGTCAAGAGTTTCGATTGAATCTTAGACCAAAATCCAGTGGCGGAGAAAACGACAAATCATTTGAAGAAATGTTATGGCCGTACGAATGAGCTAATACTCGTCCGTGAAATTTGCAGGAAGATACCATGCTAACACGGTGGTTATGTTCTCGCGAAATAAGGGAAGAATTGGCTGTAGCATGCCACCATTCACGATATCATGCAGAGAACTAGTACGCTCGATTTTCCATGAGGTTTGTGCGACTGCATCGCCATATAACAACTGTGTAGACATTATAAGTATGGTATCAATTGTTGTTGATTACTTCTACGTACATCACATGCTTATCAGAGTGAAAGGTTCGAAGATCATCTTCGAGTATCGGTTTTGTTGTTATTCCTWGTAGTATTTTTTATTTCAATAATTTCCATAACTTACGGTACGGGCACGCARTTCGTACGTTCCTACCTTACAGTAGTGTGTACGAAGTCATAAAATCTGATCGAAGGAGGCATGGGGCGGGCAGACTTCAAAAACATTCCCCCGAATTGAATTCCGGAACCATTCCAGTACAGGTACGAGTACCCCAGTACGGTACTCGTAGTACTTCTTCGAACCAACTGCCCTTTCGAGAGACGACAAACGAGAAACAAGGAGAATACTTTTTGTGATCTGATTCACCATCGAATGAAGTCCTTCTCAACGAAACTACTCGTAATCTCCCTGCGCTGAACAARCACCTCTTTATAGTTGCCGTGTAGATAGTAATCTGAGAACAATCACGGTCTATTCTGTTTTCGAGAATCATTTAAGCGGAGGCTGCCATATCAAATCATGATGTTCCGACGAGCTGTTGCCACAGTACCTCTTGAAGGGTTTTCTACGCGAAGACTTCTCTCTTCTCCGGCTCCTTCCGTCAAAGTAACGAAGTCGACACCAAAAAGTTTCTCACGATTGGAAGCCCTTCGAGAAAAACTATCCGCCGAAGATGCTACTATCGACGATTTTTCCGGGGAAAAATCGGTTGTAGTTCGGAGGAAGGCCGCCCCCCGCAGCGCAAAAACACTACCCAAGCCGAAGTGGTTAAAAGTTCAGCCAGCGGATTCCGATAATTATCGCAGGCTTCGACAAACAGTTCGCGACTCTGGACTTGCGACGGTCTGGTAAGTCTGGAATGCTTCGATTCGAGTTTTGGTTTGGTTTGTGTTATGCACTGCTATTAGAAACTACTCGTTATTCTTCAACTATCATCGTAACAATCATCGTAACTCATCTAGTTTGGATGTCACGTGATTCGAAGCGAGGAAGCTCGATGTCCCAACATTGGTGAGTGCTGGGGTGGTGGTGAGGACCAAACGGCGACTGCGACAATTATGATAATGGGAGATACTTGTACCAGAGGCTGTCGGTTTTGTTCCGTCAAAACTTCCAGAAAGCCACCCCCGTTGGATCCCGAAGAACCCGAAAAGGTATCC